AGCTCAATAAAATTTTCAGATCTGTACACGAAAAGAACGGTTTTGCTGAAGTACTACAAAATTTAGCTAGACGTGGGTAAGAAAATAATTTTATTGGACTATCACAATAATTATGTGGAACGTTTAAACTGAAATTTTTAGATATTTCAGCAAAATCATTCTTTCCATGTATCTGTCTAAATTTTTAAACGCTTCAGCAAAATCTTTCTTTCTGAATAAAACGCGCGAAAGTTTGCAAACTGATCGATTACAAATTCGTGAATAACTTAAATTGCTAGAATCGTTACAACACTTCTCGTCGCTACAAAAGAATTTCAACGGGCGATTTGAAGATTCGCTTCCCTATCGGGAGAACGACTCACTGCGGTTTAACTGCCGATAAACTAAGAAGCGATTAAGGATTGTTAATTGAATCCATGATGAGCAAGAAACATAAGTACTATCGTCATTTCTCCGATGGTATCTCAATGACGATGCAGTTTCTGCAATCCCGACATTTCGATCGTACTTTTGACATGCTTTACATGCAAAACATATTATATTTTGATTTTATCTTAACTTACCATGATTTTATGTGCCAAAATGCTAAGCGATCGAAGGAAGTTGTTATTCTTTCGACCTTGACAAACTTACGTCATTTCTCGTCACTTTCTCGTTTTGTCAGCGTAAATTTTTCTGAAATGCCAGTGATGACATCCTCGTTTAGGCAAAAAAATGTTAGAGATATTCTCATTTCATTCAAAAATACTGAAAGAAACCAGCTTCAGTTTTCAACGTTACAATGTATGTTTTAATAATAATACTATAATAATAATACTAATAATTTATTGAGATGTAAATAGATATAAAAGGAATTACATGAAAATAGATCCGATATCTGCACCACAAAAGACTAGATATTAGCAATAATGCTATTTACAAACCTAAACCTAAAAACTAAATTAAATCTAAAATTAAAATACAAACTTGAACGTAATAAAACATAATATTAATATTAAAAAAGTCTACAATGATGTAGTATATAGTTATACAATTTAAATAGGAAATAAAATAAGTAAAATAATTAGCGATGTGTGAAATGATCAAAATAACAGTGAAGAAAAACTAAAATTTGAATATGAAGTATATTGTTTGTTTTAAAAAAGTAATAAAGTTAAAAGGCATACACCACGAGCGCTCGATGTCGTTAGCGAGACCTCTTTCGAAGTCAATACAATTACATTCAATTAATAGGGGAGTTCACAAAGAAATTCACTGCGATAACATGTCATCTGCTGTTGCTATGAAACATTCACAAATCTACAAGAACACAGAATCTGGAAATTTTGTGGACTAGTATATCATTGTGGAAAACATGAAAATTACATTGAAAAACACACAACGGAAGGATGTAAAATTAGAAATTTAACGATTGCTTCACATAAACATGTATGAAGGAAGAAACTTAATCTTTAAATTTATGTTAATCTGCGTTAGCTATACTTATATACTGATGATGACCCAATTAGTAGGTCGAAACGTCTATTAATTTATTCGCTTATTAATTGAATGTAATTGTATTGACTTCGAAAGAGGTCTCGCTGACGACATCGAGCGCTCGTGGTGTATGCCTTTTAACTTTATTGTTTTTAAATTTTGACCACGTATTGACATTTAATGTTTTAAAAGTATTCTGATTCGCCGATTTTATTAACTTTACAGCGTTTCAAAAGATTTACAGCATAGATACATTCCCTACCATTATAAAGAAATATTCTACATAATGATCGGTCATATGATCATTTTATCATTCTTATATCACTCGCCATAAATTTCCGTGTCGCTGAACTTAATTTATGTACTTTCAATTAATAGCCATGGAGATAAAATCGACGAGAATAGCGAAACATATAAGAACACCGCATTGCAAGGGAATTTTTTGCGGGAAAGCATAAAATAATGAAGCATTAGAGCCAAGAGATGCAGATACGTCTCTTTAAGTTCCTAGGTCGAGGTTATATGCTTGGAACCTACCCCACCGATGAATTATTGTACCTTGTACTTTCATACCGCTGGGAAATTATTGACCAATTACTCTTCCCTTCCTACGTACGATCGTGCGATTAATGATCGTCATAGATCAAAAATATCTTCAAGGAGATATATGTGCATCCAGTATGATAGAAAAACTCATACTGTCGCTGTTATAAGTTTTACATCTCATGACATATTCAATTATTTTCGAAACACACATTATTCGAACATTATTATATTGATCAATTGATATTTGAAGTTACGTTGCTTTCAAGGTGAAAAATACATTCACGTTGAATGTCAAAGACTGCTGATTGTCGAGTCAATAATTATTCAGTACTTGCATGAAAGGATGCGATAGCGTTTGCTCCATCCAGATCCAATCGGATCCGTAATCGTGGCGGTATGTCATGCCCGGAGTGTCTCAGAAAACAAGGTGTCTCGACGGTTTCATACGTACGTTCCTGGATCAGCGGAGGTACGATCTGCACGGACGGCAATACTCAAAGATGAGAAAGAGGGGACAGGATCGTACACCGTTGTGGTGGTGGCAATATAAGGCCCGACCAGTGGCGGGCCTCAGCCAGTCCGTGAGCGGTATCTACACCTTCAAGGTCCGCGTCCTTGAAGGCGTTACTCGTCCTCGCCCGACTCGTGTGCCGTTACATGAAGAGGATCGCCGTTAGGCGTCTCGTGGCCAAGTTCTAGCCTGAGTCTTCTTCATCCTAGAATTGGAGTCCTATTTGAGCATTTGATCCCCTACCGCGCCCTACCTCGTCCCGGAAGTGGTGAACTTGTACGTTGCTACGTCGCCACCCCACCCCGATCGGTTCCCTTTTATCCCTTCTTGAACAGTAGCGTTTCAAACGTCAGTTGAACGGGAGTGATTGAGGGGTAAGGAGGTGGGTGATACTCTGGAAGCAGCTCGTGTGAGACGACGACGACGACGACGACGACGACGTGGTCGAGAAGAGGAAGCTGTATTCCCTGCCGAGGAGCATGAGGTCCTCGCTGGTGCTGCTCCTAGTAGCAGCTTTCGTCCTTGCCGGTGAGTAACAGATTTCTCTGCTCAGCTCTCTCACTGTCGCTGATATCGTTCTACGTTAACCGGTATATGCGGCTATCATATTTCCGTATCGATCTTAGACATTGATAGAGGATCATATATGTATTGCCAGTTAGAGCAAGGAGAATGTTGAAATTAGAGAAAAGGAAGGATTACGAACACATTGACTCATTTAGTTTAATTAGGAATTATTTTTTCAGCTGCTTACTTTTATATCAAAGTACACCAAAGAATACCGCGGAAGTGACTAAAATGCTTGTAGTCTCCCCTTTTCGCTAATCTAACTCATAAATAGTCCCGTTTATATATTCTAAGTAAATAGTTCTGTCTATATGTTCGATATATTCCCGACGAAACAACATGAGAGTACTCCAAACGTTACCAATAGACCAATATTACTAATAAACTTATATAGGAAACGATTCTTACAATTTGAGAATCTCGTGATCTGGATCAATTTTTCCATTAAAAATAACAGTAATTATTTTCTTACATTTTACATTTAACCTTCCATTTTACATTTACCTTCGTTTTCTTTATACATCGCATGAGAATTGCGCATAAGAATCGTAATCTGATTTTACCGGAAATGATTCGCGATATCATAGGTGATATTGAACGTACGTTCTCCAAAGCGCTGATAAGAATCTTGAATAATTAAAATCATACGTTAATTAAATTATGAAAGACATGTGCTTATACGTATCTTTTAAGAAGAGATCATGAATAAATATCTAAAAAATGCTAATCAATTGCAAAGATTAATATGTGAAGAATAATGAGAAATATCTCGAGTATCGCACAGGTGGACACGTGAGATCGTGCAGAGCCATTCAAGATGGCGAAAGTGCCGTTGCAATCTGGCGCTTGACATTTTCTTAGTCTATTGTATTTTCCTGAGGTTTCATACTTGGTTCTCCATTTTTCTAAATCACAGACAAGTAATGCTTGTAGCGACAAAAGGGATAATTTAATATAATCGAGTCGATCATCGGGACGATAGATTGCATAAGAGATTAGAGCGTGAAAGCTTCTCGGTCCGGTCGGTCCCGGATGGGTGACGTCACTGCCCCAAGCCTCTGAAAATGGTGCGGGTGGGGGCACAACTTTCCCTGTTTGTCGCTCAGCCACAAAGTCGTTTCGCGAGCCCGGAGGACCAACAGGATCGAGCGCGTTCTGACAGATCATTTTTTCAGAATTTAAAGAAAAATTCTGAATAATGTCTCTAAAAACTTGAAGATTTAAATATCAATTCGTAATATTCTCAAGTTCACAAGTTTGTTATACAAGTCTTATCTCATTTTTCTATATATTTTTTAATATACGGAAGAATTATGTATATAGATATTTTAACGAATTACATCTTATAAAAAAATAATGTATAAATATTAATATAAATAATTTATAAATAGTTTATAAATAGTTATATTGTTGTAATAGTTGTAATAAGCGGAAATGCTACAAGTATATACTACAATTTGTTTTCTTTTAGATACGAGAATTTATCCTATTATATTATTGTAACTGTAATGACATGAGTTCTTAAATCTTAAGTATTATTAAATTGTACAAATAATTAATCGCAGATAATACAAAATGCTTATTAAACTGTTTCGGTGTCTTTCAGAGGGCTCAATTCGAGTTAAACGGCAAGAAGAGAAAAAAGAAGAGAGTTTCGAGAATGAGATTTGTAAGGACAAGGATGCGGGCGAGTGGTTCAGATTGGTCGCGGGCGAGGGTGACAATTGCCGTGACGTTATTCAGTGCACGAGTTCCGGTCTGCAGGCAATAAGATGTCCGGCTGGTTTGTACTTCGACATCGATAAGCAGACCTGCGACTGGAAGGATTCCGTCAACAACTGCAAGCTGAAGAATAAAGAGAGGAAGGCCAAGCCCATGATTTACACTGAGGAAAGTAACGGAGAAAAGGACTGCACTGACGGCTCTGATGAAAACATTTGCGGTAAATCGACGTTAAAGGAAATTAATAGTCTTCATCGTAATTTAATCGCGAAAAAATATTTAAAAAACATTTAAATTCAGAATGGTTGCAATCTTTTCGACGTTCCAGACATGGACAATGATCCCAATAGAGCTCCACCATGCGATCCTTCTGTGTGTACCCTGCCCGACTGCTTCTGTTCGGAGGATGGTACCACGATACCCAGTGATCTCCCGTCTAAGGATGTTCCCCAGATGGTCACAATTACTTTCGACGACGCCATTAACAACAACAACATTGGCCTCTATAAAGAGATCTTCAGTGGCAAGCGCAAGAATCCAAACGGCTGCGACATCAAGGCAACCTTCTTCGTATCGCATAAGTACACCAACTACTCCGCGGTCCAGGAGATGCACAGGAAAGGCCACGAAATCGCTGTCCATTCAATCTCGTAAGAATTGACTCCTTCTAATAACACTGTCATTTCTCTCATTTACATGCCATTTAGAAAACTCCGTTCCGATTTGACTTTCTTCGCGAAGTTACCACGGAGAGACCCGTTCATACGCAAGGTCCCAAGAGAGCAGGTTCATGAGTTCGTAAATTGGAGGACAGGTTCACGAGTACATCTGTTCCCACGATACGTCATGTCATGTCGCTCATGACCATAGTCATAATTGTTAAAAATCAGAACACGATCACTACATAATGTTTACATGACAACTTTGGGGCAAGGCACAATGATGACGAGCGCTTTTGGTCGGACGCTACCGTCGACGAGTGGGCCAAGGAGATGGCTGGCATGAGGATCATCGCCGAGAAGTTCGCAAATCTGACGGATAACAGCGTGGTCGGCGTCAGGGCGCCGTATCTGCGGGTCGGTGGTAACAATCAGTTCACCATGATGGAGGAGCAAGCCTTCCTGTACGATTCCACCATCACTGCGGCCTTGAACAACCCTCCGCTGTGGCCATACACCATGTACTTCAGAATGCCGCATCGTTGTCACGGAAATCTTCAACACTGTCCCACTAGGTGAATATCAATCCTGATCGTAAAGAGTGTCAAGTTCTTGAACGATTCACAATGATGGTTGTCCTAAATATGACGAATAATTGTTTGCAGATCGCACGCCGTGTGGGAGATGGTGATGAATGAGCTGGATCGGCGTGAGGATCCACAGAACGACGAGTATCTGCCCGGCTGTGCTATGGTGGACTCATGCAGTAACATCTTGACCGGCGATCAATTCTATAACTTCCTCAATCATAACTTCGATCGTCACTACGAGCAGAATCGTGCCCCTCTCGGTCTCTACTTCCACGCCGCCTGGCTGAAGAACAATCCCGAATTCTTGGATGCCTTCTTATATTGGATCGACGAAATCCTGCAGAGCCACAATGATGTGTACTTTGTGACGATGACTCAGGTGATCCAATGGATTCAGAACCCGCGCACCATCACCGAGTCGAAGAACTTTGAGCCCTGGCGGGAGAAGTGTACGGTGGAGGGACCTCCGGCGTGCTGGGTGCCCCACACCTGTAAACTGACCTCGAAAGAGGTGCCCGGCGAGACCATCAACCTTCAGACTTGTGTCCGCTGTCCCAACAATTATCCTTGGGTGAATGACCCGACTGGTGACGGCTTCTTCTAAACTGCCGAGCGCGATTCTCCTTCTCGTCTAAGTCAAATTTCTCCTCCTTTCTCCTTAGTTCTGCCAATCCTTTCCTCCCTGTACCTCAACCTGACGTCGGTCGAAAGGTACGTCGCGAGTCTTCGCGATCCAACTACGGCGCCGGAAGTCACCGACCAACGCCAAGTATTCTCGAGACTTTGGAGAGCGATGGCGATTACGACGACGAGGCACATGGAGGAGACAAGGAGAAAGATCATTAGTCCGTTAAACTCCGATGACCGCCCTTAGTTGCCAATATTTTTCGCTGTTTTTATCGTTGAGAACGACGTATCTGTGATGATTAGTTCTGTTCAGTTGAAATAATACGGAGTCTAATGGACTGAAGGTGAATGGAATAAAATGAAACTTTTTACCCGCTTCGCGTTCACAGATGTCCCTTTAGCAATGACGTTTAGCTTCGTCTTCAGGTTACACCCGAAATTAGCACTCTACGTAAAAGGAAAAACACTATATTTTTTTGCGCGTGCCTGGTTATCAGCTGGTAATTAAAGCTAACGTTCATTATATGCGTCAGCAATTTGTGATAGACTCCCGAAGGCGACATCCTCGAAGTCCACGAGGCGGCAATGACGGCCACGTTGACCGATCATGATAACGATGACGATGACGAGAGCTGCGCGCATTTCCACTCGAAACCGGCAGAAGCAAAAGCAAAATATCGCGCCCCACTCGATCCCACGAGGAGAAATCGCGGATCCTTCGATGGCGGTGGCTTGGCGATCCACGAATGGGATTTCATATGTAATATAACCCCCCTCGCTCTATCACATTTCCGATATCCCAATTCCCAATGAAAGCAACGATCGATATCGATCTATCGGTAAACACGTGCTTTCTTCCCGTCAAACCTTCTCTCCCGTCCTCAGAAATAATCCTCAAAGATCGCCAATTGTTCCCCAATTTGAGGTATGCCCTTATTTTTTTAAGGGTTTGCCGATATAAATATATATATATATAAATTTATAAATATATATATATATGAAAATTAAATATTGCGTATGTATATTTGTAAAACTAAGTGATACTACCAACGTAGCGTTCTCGACGAACCTTTGAATAAAAGATTCTGAGAAATCACACATGAAGAGGTCTATTTTCATTATTTCTTTTCTCCCTGACTCATTTGCGACGTGTTAACCATTACGATCGTTCGGTAATGGGTTAGAAAGTGGGGCACGCTTAGGCCCCGCAAACTTGACCGTCATTCCAGTGAAGGAAAGGGAGGAATTTATTTCTAAGATATGAGAAAACATGGGTGCACGCGGAAATTCATCCGTTCATTATTTTTCTCATTACTTCGTTAGTATAGAACCACGCTGCGGCAAGCTTTCAAAGCTCACTCATTCCGAGTTAATTGGAATTAATGTGCTTCGTTAAAATCACGCGATACAAGATACGTTGCGGGAAAAAACATCTATTACCGTGTGCGAGCGTCGAAAGGAAATTTCATTTGCGAATTGTAAAAATACTTCCCTCGTAAAGACGTGTCTTACACATTTTTGTCGGTCGATTTGCATGCGGCGAAGGATCGTTATAAGCTGGTGTAATCGCGAGACGCGTACATCATCGCGAGATACGAGAGCTTATTTCAATTTATGCGCCATGACGGGAGGCTCATTCCAGTTTCGTAATTGCTCTGAAAATCTCGCTTGCGTGTCTCGATTGGCGGCCTTGATCTGAATTCGATTTACTGTGCGACGGACATCGATGACGCGACGAATTAAGGACGACTTGATCCTGCTACGATCCTCGAGAAAACTGAAAGCGAAAGTCTAAGAAAACACTTCGAATTTTGAGGATGAGTCCAATTATTTATTGAGAAACCATCGATTTACCAATTTACCTAAATATTATTTAAATCGCCTAATTTAATATATTCTACAGTATATCATTAAATTCTTATGAGGATGTATCCAAGTGTATAATTTCTGCAAAAAGTGATTGGAATTGGAAATTTATACTTTCCCTATAAAAATAAATGTTAAATAGTAAATAAAATAGTTCAATAAGGTCAATATTTATATTCAACAACACAATTTTAATAAAAATTTCTTTAAAAAAATTTTTTCATTTTATCTTAATTGTTTTTTAAAAACATGTCTACTTCTAATTGAAATAATTTTTAATCCTAATTGTAAAGCGCCACCAAACTTTTATGTTATTTTCAAGTACAATATATAAAAATCTACAATTTTTCATAATTTTTTCATTTAAAAAACATATTCTTATATAAACGTTGCATGCATAATAAATATGCAAATAAACATTGCATATTTTGTACCTGACAAAAATAACTTATTGAAAGTTAATAAAAAGCTTGCGCTTAATATTAAGTAGATGTTTTATTTACTTTAAATTTATCGAATGGTTTATGAAATGGAAATTTAAACATTGAATTGTTTATGAGATGTTTATGACTATGAAATGTCAAGTAACGTTTAATGACATAATCAAACATTTCTATTATAGTTTTCTAAGTGTTTGTAAAATACAACAGAGGATTAACCAGGTTTGTAACGTACTTCCAAATAATGTAACCGTCAATAAAACTCTTATAAACAATATCATCGACAAAACTCTTAAACAGATATATTCATAAACAGGTATAAACATAATCTTATTAAAAATTTAGAGCATCTCCTGACTTTTCGCCAGGATATATGCTGCAGATATTACTCTTATATATCCTTATTATTCACTTAAAAGTTACTGATTAAAAGTTACTGATTAATTACAGCAAAGTAAATGAGAGTTTGGAGTTTTTTGTCAGCAATTAGGTGCGGCAAATAATTATACATCCCAAATGGGGATGTGTAACTATTTATAACAACGCTGCACGCGAACTTCCACGCAAAACTCAAATTAAATCGCATAAAAGTGAAGAAGAGCGTGTCGCACGCATTATATAATGCCTCGAAACATGAAGCACAATTACAAGCCGTTGTCTCCATATTTTATTTTACTAATGTTTATTAAGTTTAAGTTAATTAAGGCGGATTAATGACTTTACTATTGTTATATGACAGCAAGACATTGGCGCACATGTTCGTTAATTATACAGAATATATCGATTTGCATGTTTCCGACCCACCATTATTCTCTACCTACGGATCGACGAATCGGGGAAAAAGAAAGGACGAACGCGGGAATAGGAAAAAAATAATTGTAACCTCGCGTGAAATACCAACCGGCCGCCGACGGTTGCATTCCGATGCAGCCTCTCTTTCGTCGCCGTTTAGCATCGTTTCGAGACAAACTTAATCAACGTCAAGAAAATTCCGCCGCTGATGGAAGTTTTATTCCGCAAGCAACAGGTACCTCAATCGTGATCGAGCGATCGTAAATGAGAGATTATGCATGAGATCATGTACATATATCATACTAACTTAGTTTCATGTTATTATACACGAAAGATTAGGGAGCAAAGTGTCTCAATAACTAAATGCGCCCAGTGATTGAAGATTCAACAACATATTTGTCAATAACAGCAAACAATGACAATCTAAAGAGAAGTTAAATATTTTGTATTAGAATAAGCAATAAAAATATATGATTTTAATTGCAAATTATTACAAAAAAATTATTTTCAAATTTTGCAAGACAGTCATATTTTTACTTATCTTTTTATCATCTTGAATAAGACATAATCCTATACAGAGAGTACAGAAACTTGCAACAACGTTTGCAATGTTATTACATTGTTATTGAAACATTGCATTGTTGCTGCAATATTTCTATAATGATCCTTGCCGTATAGGATAATTACTTTTCCAAATTTTTTAAAATATTGTACTATATTTATCTAAATATGTATTGTATATTTTGATTATAATGAATGAAAACTGAATTTAAAAAACTTATTTTAATAGAAATTTAGTTACTGATACAATTAATAGTGTAATATATCAGTTATGGAAATGTTCTTTTTTAAACTTACCTGATAGTATTTTTCGATTATGGACAAAACAAAGTTTCTTGTGGATATTAATTGCATTTGTAATACAACTAATTAATAATCAATAATAATATAGAACTGATCGTATCTTCTTATTAGTTCAATCATTAGGATATTTATCTTATACTAAATGTTCATATATGCTTTTGCAGTATGTGTTGGGGTAACCATAAACGTGGCTGCATTATTCATTTTCGCATTATTTAAATGCCTACTCGCATAATTGGCATGTATCACTTCTACTTGCGGTAAAGTCTTTGTTAGATAATTTTTCTGCGGCACGCAAATGGGAGGTTCACCCACGATCAAATTCCATTTACCCGTACAAGGCATGTTAATAGATTTCATAATAACAAAGGCGATATCTTTAAAGATAGTACACTGAGAGAAAAGTGTTTAATATTAGTGACTAAAATTGCAGGTAAAAAATTATATATTTAAAAAATATATGTATATAGTTAGCAATGAAAATGATAAACTATATATTATTTTGATATATAGAAGTAAAAATATAATACTTATTACTAACATTATAGCATAGTAATGGATTGCTTAATCTATAATTTAACCAGGCAGTTATAGTCATAAATAATAAACGCTTTTCTCTCACAATGTATTGTAAGTGTATTGTAAGATTTATCTTTTTATTATAGATATCAGGAATCGGCAGAAACAATTCCTAGAAAACATTTATATAACAGAGTTTTTATAATATATATACTTATATGTGAAGATTATTATAAATAACAAATTAACGAAAAGGGTTTTAAAGGATTACACATTACATTAATCTTGATTAAATAAATATTACCATTTAATTAGAACCAACTGTCGCCACTTTGACGCAGCCAAAAAATTTTTTCTACATAAATTAATCATCTCGCTAATTGCTCCGAATACACTGCAATTTAATGGACTGATTCACGAGGATGATTTAATGAGCGAGTCTCGGGAAGAGGCGGTGTCGATCCCTTGCACATCGAATAGGACGAATTTTCTCCTCTTCTCTCATGGAATGCAATGTTTCTCGGCGCCAGAACACGCGCAAAACGGCGCTAAACGGCAACCTGAAAATCTCGCACAAGCGAAAGTAGAGAAAGCTGCGTGTCTCGCGGAACCATGGCAAGGCCGTTGCTGTTTAAAGACGAAATACGCCTAACGGCGCCGTCCAGATGCCACAATCACGTGCACGGCTTCCAGATGCGCCACCGAGTATTAATCGCGTTCGCGCACCGGATCGATTATCTTCACCGGATACGATAAAACTTTCATGAGTTCGAGCGTGGACTGTTATTAAGTTCCAAGTTTATCGCACCAGTATTAGTTTTGAAGCGATATTGTTGTTTCGGTATATACGACATACTTATCTGCTAATGATTACATAAAAATGTTCGATTACTCCAAAATGTTAAACGCTTTTTATGCAACATTACATGACTCAGCTGGATGTGTTGGCCTAATTTTAATGCATGTGAAAATAAATTATGTCACATGTTCCAATGCAGCTAAAAATTTGTTATGAATATTTTCACATCTTAAAGATTAAGCTCGAAATTATAGATACCCTAGATGAAACAATTTGAACAACTCGAAACGGTCTTTATGTCAGTAAGTGTAGCTATGCAATTGCGAAGTTCACTCTATGCAAAGTCGCGTACGTTGCATTATTAATAATAATTCGCTCTGACGCGGCGGA